TGCCCTCAAGGCTAGTCATAACATCTCAAGCAGGAGCAGAAAATCACTCCAGTGAAGAGGAAACAATCTATGCAAATAGCAAATGCATTAACATTAATACATAGACTTGAATGAGCTCTAAGTTTTTGCTTGAATTATTTTTGCTTGTTGTCTAGACAAATATTATGCAAGAAGTATGTTTTTCTTTCTTACTTTTTTCTTAATTTCAGTTTAAACAGTAACACTCCATTTCATCCTACTGTAGAAGTTAGTAAAGCAAAATGGAGGTACATTGAATGTCCACTGATATCTCTGCACCACCAGATTTTCATTTATCCACATTAGTTGGGCTTGGCTCAACTGAGTGACTCAACCAATAAAAAAGTTCACTGTGAAAGCAGGTTAAGCTCAATGGCCCAGATGTTAGGAGTCTGATCCGGGGTCATGTCACATCTTGGTTATGTCTTGTCACATCATGTCAAGTCATGCCCCAGTACAGAGACTGGGGCACAACCAGGCCAGGTTTAGAATGAGTTGGCTTTTTGGAAAACAGTATCTCCTGCAAATTCCTTGTAGCCTGCAGGCAGGAAACAACATCAGCGAGAAGCATGCCTCAACTCCAGTCAGTGCCTACTCTCCTGTGAGGCACTATAGAGAATACTTTAAGTTAAAAGGTGAAAGCTGGTTCTGTTCTTGGCTTGGTCAGAGGAGCATGAAATACAGGAGACATTCTTGCTTTAAGCCAATATGTGGAGAAATAATTGGTGATCATGAAAAACACAGAAAAACTAGTTCAAAAAGAGTAAGTAGACCCAAGGATTCTTCCCAACTTAGAAAGTGACTTTGTGAAAAGCAATCTGTCATTCTTTGAAAAGTTAAAACTTTTTCTTAACCCTTGTCTACATATGTTTCTACCTGGCCAGGGTACAGATAGACAATTCCTCAATTCACTAGCTTACATGTAACATTACAGGACACACCAGTTTGAATAATACAAAAATTGTCATATAACCTTAGTTAAGATCACCATATTAGCCATATACAATTTCTTGCATTGAATTTGTTTTTCCACATACCCCAGCTTGCTCTCCATGAGACACACAGACAGAGAGAGAGAAGCCTGGGGTCAGAGCACAGGGTCAGCCATTTATGCAGCGCCCCTGGGACAGATGGGGTTAAGGGCCTTGCTCAAGGGCCCAGCGGAGTAGGATTCCTCTGCCGACCGGGGGATTTGTAACGGCAACCTTCCAGGCATGGGCACAGATCCTTAGCCACTGAGTCACCGCTCTGTCCTAATTGTTTTTTTTTTTAGAAAGTTCTGTGTCACATACGTGATCTTGTGAAACTTGACTATATTCTCACAATATTAGCAAATATGGATTTTCTTAACAAACACAGATGCAAGGACTGGCTATTAAGCCAAGAAACAATATTTATTCATATTGTAGTAGCCAGGTGCAGTGAATTACCAGTTAAACTGAAACAACAACATGGGATGAACACATGTTAGCAGAATGCATTTGAAGCAACATGATTTTTTGTGTGTGTGTCCTGAATTAGGTAATCACACCCACAAAGCAATCCTGTTAATAAAATTCAAAACTGTGTCCAGGGTTAATTTTCAGCTTGTCTTACTTTCTGTAATTATGCATTTTTGCACAACTCCCAAGTCAGTGCAGGAAGGCTTTGTGTTTTGTCTCAGTTTATTTTGTCACCATGCTGAAAGCCCTTTGCCAGAACAAGTCTTTTGTGAGTTGTAATCCCGACCCTGAGGCAGACTCTCTCTGCGTGATCTTACATAAGAACAAATCCTCAACTGAGATCGCATGGAAGAAAAGTTCTTGTTCTGTCACCTGCAATGATGTTTTTTATAAAAAATAAAAAGTATAATGTCTTTTTTTAGAAGATTCCCACATCCATTATTATTATATGCTATTAGTATTTATTATGTGTAATGTGTAATTATTATCTGCTAGAGTAGTTTATCCAAGGATTAGAATGTTATTGAAATGAAAATTTACAATGTTATGTTTTTTTGGACTGACCAGGATATTGCTGACCCATGGATGTTTTCTTTGAGCTCAGTAACTTAAAATCGCCCTTGGCCTCAAAGTGGCATCCCTAACAAGTTTCCTTCTTACCCCTTCTTACCCCTTCTTCCTTCAATCAGCTTATCCCGTTGCACTGATCTAGGCATTGTCTGGGTATCTTTCTTGTCTTAAAGACAAACTTCACACTGCTCAAAGAGATAAAGAGTATTTGAAAGGTTTTTGTACCCTTCTTGTGCTCTATGCCTTTATACAATATTATTCCTGAGTTAAAAGCTTCTTGGTCTTTATGGTTCAATTTTTGCTTGCTTTGCTTGGAATTCACAGCCTGACTGAGGGACCTTGCAGGGATTTGTATTTATTCTGAAATCATGTGAACCACTATTATTGCACACAGACAGAGGACACTCAACTACAGTAATTATGTGGCTCATTAATCTAATTTTGTACACTTAAATTAATTTAGGTTTGCCACAGCAAAGGGTTTAATAATTACGCCATCATGATTTTTCTATTTTTCTTCCATATTAATTAGCTCTTCTTTTTATTTTAAGCTTTGAGCATGTGAAAAAGATTACATACAGTTTACACTGTAACTAATATTAAATGCTATGTAAAAGTATAATGCCTGCAAGCATTGACGCGAGAAAATATGAAAACTGTATAAGGATCTTAATAATTGAAAGGCACTGTATACATTTTGTGATAATTTATTGTATGGAATTGGACAGGTCATGCTCAGTTATTATCAGAATCTTACATGCGTAAGATTACATTAATTCATCCAGTGTGAATTACAAAAAAGAAGTTTAAAACTAAAGAAAACAATAATACAAGTGAATGAAATCATTATGCTTCTATGACCTTGAAGCCCTTTTCCTACAAGAAAACTAATCTGTAATGGTAAGATTTTAGTATGCATCTGGTATTGCATTTGTACCTTCTACGTCTGAGGTGCATCTCTATAACAAGATTTTGGCTTCTTCACCTAAATATAAATGTGTTAACTTCTCATTTGTAAAACTGAATGGTATTGTTTTTGTTTCATAACATATACTTTTATCAAATGTGGTTTAGCTGTTAATTGATTAGGCATGCATGAAGATGCAGATGTTGATGCTTAAATGAAGCAGTGAACATTTACTGCCTTGAAGGTGAAGTGAATTTTTTTTGTAGGTACAGACACACATACTGTAGTAGATGAGCCTTCATAGGTCCTGCAAATGCCTAATGAGTTGAATATCACTGTGGGAACCCTCTTTTGGAAGGGATAATATACATACTGTAGTCAGTACCTACACTCATATAACTGTTCTTTGAGTAGATATCCAGACTCTTTAACTCATAGAAAGCCATCTGTACTTCACCATGCCTCCTGCATCTGCTGTAGCTGATTTGTCATATTGTGTTTAATTTAATTTTTTAATTAAAGGGATTTTATTAGCAAATGTAGAATCAGTAATAAAAATGACTTTCAAGACTTTACAAATCGCTGTGTGATAGCTTATAAAATCAGTGGCTACGAGAATACATCTGAGCAACATAAGAAGTTTCCTACAGCTTAAGCACGTTTAGCGCCGATAATATTCAGTTTTGTTATTTAGTGGATTAATGCACAATGATCATGAACAATATCAGAGTTTATTTGTTTTTATCATTTATTAATTAAACTATACATTTAGCCTAAAATACCATTGCTTTATTAAGTCATGTAAAGCGTTTTGTTCTAATAATTATAATAATTATAATTATAATTAGAATAAGAAATAACTATATTTTTTCTCTAACAGCTGAAAGGATAAAGGTTGCTTGTGGATGTAAGTATTGGTACTGTACACCCTGCCTGAAATTGGTTATTTTACATCGTGCCCGAGGCAGACCCAGATACGCTGAAGGGATTATATCTCTCTGCTGGTCTGGGATCGCCTGGGAATCCCCCAGGAAGAGCTGAAGACTGTTGCTGGGGAAAGGGAAGTCTGGTGTGCCCTACTCAGCCTGTTACTACCATGACTCTGGAATAAACAGTTAGAAAATGTGATGGGATGAGACAAGGAACCATTTCTCTAATATAAAGATTAGAATGAATTCCATTGATTAATAAGTATAGTCCAATACATTTGCTCATATTAAACATAATAGTGAATACAATTATTTAAGTTGATGATTTGTAATACTTTCAAGTAGAAACGGCAGGACTATCTGCTTGCGTTTATATAGAGCACGATTACCATTCCCTCTCTGCTTTTCCATAGGTTCAGAAACAGTGAAGTTTGAAAAAAAACTAGCTCTCTCATCCAGAATTATCTGTGTGTACTTTTTACAAAAGGTGACTTAGTTGAATTGATAAGTTTGGTAAAATCAGCCAAAATGGGGGGGTTCACAGGAGACACTTTCAGGATCTTCTAAAAGAAAAATAAAATTGTTTTGTTTGTACTGTAACTTTGGGTTTCCAACAGCTTATAAGAGTACAGGGAAAAAGAGCTATTCAGCCAAAACTCACTGCCTGCCAGTGGGCCTGAAGTGCCTGAAGAAACTTATCTTTCTGCTTAAACATAAATGTCTCTGAGTTTGAAACTCTGGAAAGAATGTCCCTCACATATACTTTTTTCTCTTTTTATTTCTTCAAACATCCTGTCAGTTAAAAACAGAATGAGGGGAAAATAATGCAAAAAAAGAGTGGCCCTGGATTTTTGTCTAATAAAAAAAAGTATGATGAATGTTCCACATGCCACAGTGCTTGGGAAACAAAACTGAAGCTTATGTTTATTTTACTAATATTTACTGCTGTAATGTGGACAGTGAACAGTGAAATGTATAGCCATGTAAAATTAGTATTGCATACAGTTAGATAAGAAATAAATCAATTTGACTGTTTCTTTTTCATATACAGTATTAATCATGTAAGACTAAAATGTTGACATATTCCATTTCTCTTTAAAGCAGTGGCCTGGTAATAACATAAATGAGACTTACCACTTTTTTGTTGTGATATCAAATCATGACTTAGTTCTGGAGAATCAATGAGCAGTGGAAAAAAATCTACCTTCTTATCAGAGTGAACAAAAAGGACAAACTACATAAAGTATCTTTGTATTGAGTTGTTCTTTTAATTATGGCAAAATTCCAGCCTGTAATTTGTAAAGCCTGTGAAAATATTTGTCCATGGCTATCACTGCACCACTTCAAAATCACAAGGTGTCTCATACATCATACAAAAACATCACAGTAGTGTGGGAATTGAGGATAGTATCATGGTCTATCTTCTTTCCATGCTGTGATAATGACAGCTATAATTACTTCTTGTCACAAGTTAATGCAAGAGGGATGTTCAAGAGTGTGACTAAGTAGGTGTTACAAAGCCTGATGCTTTATAATTCTTTATGGTATCTACTTGGATCTGAACAGCAGAGAGCAATAGAAATAAAACTTTAGTTTGAGTTTTAGAATAGCATCACTAAATATAGATATTTAATGCTAGCTTTGTAAGCATGTAAACCGTAGCAAGCAAATTCTATTCCAAAACTATCCTTAAATAAAAGGAAAATTGTTTTTCTTCTGTTCAACACAACAATACCGAGATGGAACAAGGAAAAACAATAAGGAAGAGCAGGCAGCAAGTTGTACAGTATTTGGTCAGTTATTTTTCACAGACAATAAGTTATTTTGAACAGACAATTACTAAATAAAGCAGGAGGCTTCTTTTAAGTTTGAGCAATGATGCTGTATTTCAACTTTAAAGGTTTTAGAGGACAACACAGTTGTTAATTTACTGGATTGGTCTCATTTTGGATTTATTTTCTTAATGATGAGAAAACACAATGCTTTGCATTTACCTAATAAACTTCTTTATCCCTTTTGTTCTGACACAGTGCTTTAGCTATAATTCTCATTTTAGTACATGCTAAATGTACTTGAGGAAAAATTATTTTAGTGTTTCCATAAATTCTCAATCCCCAATGTAATTTATTGTTCACTGTTCTCAGAAGATGAACATTGCTAATCATGTTTAATGTTAAAAAAATAAAGCAGTGTTCATCTAATGAACAAAATAAAACACCACAAAAGGTTTACAGAAGTTTACTCAAGAGTTAGCCGTTATTCACAATGAATTCTAGTACACAAAAATGAAGAAGTACTGTTGAGTTACCATAATCTTGCACACCGGTGATCTAAACTGCATAGAGACCGTAAAGTTCTGGAACATTGTCAGTGTTTACTTCACATTCATAAAACATTTCTTAGTGGTTATATTATTTTCATTATTATGATAATTGTATTTAATCTAATCTGAAATATATTGAAACTATGCATCTTTTAAGGCTAAAGGATAGTAGTAATGGAAGTTTTTCAAATTATTATTAAAGTATTAATCTTAAAATTAAATTAAGAAGTAGGTAAAAAAAACTTTAAAAAATGAAGTGCTGTAAAAGAGAATTTAAAACTAAAACCCCACAAAAATACATAAAAAACAAAGGCCCTAAATATACATTATGCTTAAGGTTCTAAAGTGGGGAATCAGACATTGTCAGAGTAAGGTAGTGCCGTTTTTCCCTACTCTCAATGCTGCATGATTCAAATACAAAAACAAGCTGGAAAGTTGACTAAAAGGCTTAGCAGCTGAATCGCAATATTTTTATGAGAAATTTGTCTAGCCGGAATTTAGTCCACAGAACAGGCCTGGAGTGAGAGTAGATACAGAACCGGCTATTAAAATACAGGGAGAGCGATTCCACTGGCTGACCACAGGGGAACTGACCCCTTCCACCTAAATATAGCATGATCAGAAGGACAGATCTGTTTAATGTTATTGTTCAGGGAATGGACTCTTCTAACCATTACTGTGGCTAAGAATCACATTCATTCATGTGGCAAGGGCTGTTGGTGGTAGTATGGAACAGGGTGCAATTGCAGCGATAACATTGTGCTATCATTCTGACACTGCCACTCATCACACTGTAATTCATTGAGTCTTTACTCTGCAGCTGGTAGCAATTTTGAGGCTGTGTGATTATGGAAGCAGTGATATCTAACACACAGGTAGTTACCAAACATTGTGTTCCTGAAAGTAAGGCAGTGATGTGCAATAGCAACTGATAAGAAAGGTTATCATTGTGGTTACATGTCAATTATGCCATATTTGAGTTTTTACTTTTTAATTTTCCATAGAATATTACTTTCACATTGCTATTTTCCTGTAACCATTTTGTACATTTTTGTTGTCATTTGTAACCAGTAACCTGACAGCAGTATGTGTCAACAAAACACAATCATAACATTGATTATCATAACAATGACACTTTTTTGTTTGTTAGTGTTATTTTTTTAACTCTTTCTAGTGAATATTATTTCTAGAAGGTTAGCTGTCTGGGTGTAGTAGCTCCAACTCAGGAGATTACAGAAGGATGTGATACAATACAAGCTGATAAAATCCTTAAGGGTGCTTAAGGAATCAACCCTGAGATCTATTTCAGTACCAATTGTACAGTAGTACCGAAAACATCAGACTTTTGTTACACAAAGAGTTGTTGAGATATGGAACAAATTGCCCAGCCATTCTCCGTGGAGATGTGAGATCACAGTGCAGGCTTACAGAAACAACAGCTTCTGTAATGTTGATAGGACAACTCTTGACAGCAACCGGGTTCTTCTCTCACTTACCTGTCATGAGCTTAGAACAGAAAATATTAGAATTTTGTGTATGTGGCTTAAAGGAAATTTTAAACCACCCCATCCCCCCCCCCCAAATTAAATGTCACTAAATTCTGTTTGGTACTTAACAGTTGGTACTGTACAGTATATAGCCTTCTATTTGTTACAGAAGTTACAGTGAGTAGTATGTACAGCAGATAGAATTATCAAACTGTGAAATGCAGTAAATATAATGCAGACATTAAAGCATCTGATAAAGTTGATTTGGACAAATTGACAAATTATACTAATGCAGAATTACCAATACAATACCAGATACCCATTATTGAGTTTGGTTTTGTCATTTCTATTTTTAGGAACACTAGAATCAGCTACAACAAGTTTAACTTTGATTTACACTGATGTACTATATATCACTTTCTGTCTGATTGAAAAAAACATTCAAACAGACATTTGAATGCAATTTAATAAACCCTTAAGGATTTGAAGTCATTTGAAACACAATTTAAAGTCATTAAAGTTTCTGTTTCTGTAGATTTTAAGCTTTAAGAAACTGAGGCAAAGCAAACTCATCTGTTTTTGAGTTACTGTATGACAAATATTTTGTGCACACAGCTTTTCTATATTCAATAATCTTTAAATGTAATTAAGTAAAGACAATGGTTAAGGAGAGATAATGGATTGATTATGTTATTTACAGCTTTTTAAGTTGAGATCATTAAAAAGATGTATTAAAATCTTTTTAATAAACACATCAATATGTTTTTTTTTTATCTTTTGGAGCAAAATTTAAACAGTTTAGACGGAATAGCACTTAAAAATTGGAACGCTCACTGTCAATCAAAATGATACCATTTCACAGTGAGTCTAATATTGTAGTGCTACTAGAGGAGACTCTCAGATGACATTGCTGAAGGCAGTTTTATTGCTTTCTGATCTCCTGCGAGCCGTGTATATTAAGAGATTCTTTTTGTGAGAAGAAGTGCCTGATCACGGATTGCAGAATTGTCCTTCGGAACAGCTGGACTAGGGCATCAACCGAAGCAGTTCAGTCCATGATATTTAATTCATCAGTCTTCAGCCACATCAATCTTCTGGATTCTCTTTCCTCTGTCCTTTGGCTTTTGTTAAGGTTCTTTTCTATATATATATATTTCTCTTTAATAATTTATTCAAGTATTAGATATATAGAGTATAGCCATTATTGCTTTGAATTGCATGTTTGTAATTAAAAATACAGAATTAATGTTTAATGGTTTGGATTTAAATAGGGGACATCTGCATGTGTTTAAGATGATCTGAAAAACTACTCTATGCATGGAGTTATGTAATCTAAAATAGAAGTCATTGCAGGCAGCAGATTACTCTGTCAATTTAGATGCTTATGAAGTGGATCCAGTCCATAGACCCAAGGCCAAGGGATTCTGCAATATATGAATTTAGAGCATTATGAAGAGAATGAGAGACATCTGGAATTGTTGGAAGAGAGAGAAAAAGCTAGGCAATAGCCAGGATTTAAAGGGACAACAAGATGCTTTGTTTTCATTAACTCACTAAGATTGGTTGCACTGGAAATTAAACAAAAAGAAATGGAAAACAAAGACAATGGGGTTTTGTTTTTGTTTTTTCTACAGGTACCAAGAAAATAGATTGTTTTTTGTTCCTTTTTTTTTCAGCTTTATGTTTCTATAAAGGTTTGTATACTTCAATGAAAAAATAATTTTAATTGCATGGTCATTTTTCATGGAATTACGTAATAGAATCTGCTGACATTAAAAAAACAATGGGAAAAGGGTATACTGTATTTCTAAACTGGGTGCTAAAATACCACATGTGCTTTAGTCTGACAGCAATATTCACCAGGATGCATGTTAATGACACTAAAATCCAATGTCTTAATGTATCCATTTATTTGATGCTGTACAGAGTTAAGGAATTTTGTTTGGGGAAGTATGAAGGAAATCTGATATAGGTGCCAAACCCCTTGGTAGACTGCCACTTTATATTATGAGTGATGTGTCATTTTTCCCCCTGAAGCTGCTCAACAGCAGAGATTTTCTATGCAGTCACAGCTGTCACTGTCATACAGTTCATTCCACCTTGTGCACAACATTGCAAACTTCAAGGAGCAGGACCTGATGTTTTTTCATTGTCTTAAGATCCAGACTGTAAACACAAATGAAGTTAAAGTTTCTTCACTTACAGTGCTCACAGGCTCAGATAAAACCCTGTTCTTATGGCCATATTTGTAAGGCTTAAGTCAAGGAGGGAGATGGCAAATACATTTTTTTCACTAGATTAGTTTTACATAAGCACACGGCGATGTTGGATCAACACCTTTGTGAGCTAATTTTAATTTCAGTGTGGTACGTCAATAGGAACATTTTCA